GGCCGGGTTTCGCGCCCGTGGCTCGACCTGGGAAGCCGGGGTTTAGGCTACTAGCGCGAGGGGGGTGGGGTGGGGGGGGGGGGGGGGTAATTGGAGCGAACTTTAAAGTCAGAACACTAGACTCTCTATGAGTCCTACTCTAATGAGTTCTACCAACTCTCACTGAGCTATCTTTTTATTGAAGCGAAACGATAGGTCTTAAATACTTTTGATCAATACTGCGTACATGAATGTCTTTTACTAGCTTCTGCTATTCTAATATATTCTATTTTTAACAAATTTAGAATAACAGGATCGATCTGGTACGAAATTGTACCTGGCTTAGACGAATAGGTGCAAATTGCCTCAGCAGCAAATTGTAGCAGGTATGAATTTCCTATTTTTAGTAACATATACTGTCCCAACTTCGTAATAAAAATAAAAATAATAATAGACAAAAATAAATAGAATAAACCAATATATAAAAAAAATTTTGGATTACGGACACCCGGGCCCCTTTACGACAACGTACTAATGATCCATCAGGAATGGTATTTTCGTCTAACGTATCCTAACTGCATACAGTGTATCACAGGAATGAGAGTAACTCCGTAACAGAATTTTTATGATAACATTAGAAATCATTATAATTTTAATACAAAATTTAACCACATACAATGTGCCCCCGGAATAACATGTATATCCTGTAACAGAGTTTTTTATCATAACTCATAATAGAAGTTACAATAATTCTAATGCAAACTCAGCTTAACCACATACTATATGAATAGTAAGTTCTGTAAAGAATTTTTACCGTAACTTATGCTAAAATTTATAACAATTCCAATACATACTGTATGTACTGAATAAGACTATTTTTTACTTCTTGGAGTTGCTCTAATTGGCTAAAACTTAATCTTGCAATCAAAATAGTCACTCAATTAATTGCAATAATTAATCACTATCACTAGCAAATTACATTGAGGAGAGCTACTTGAGAGCGTATTTAATCTATACGACTTATCAATTGAAATATTCAAGATAAGCTACATATTTTGTTCAATATATATATATATATTATTTATCTATCATTTAAAATATTCTTAATAATTTCGACTGTTTTCAAGCATCTCAATGGATCAGAGACGAAATTCTAATTACAGTCAGAAATCTCCAAATGCATCTATAAGACTGAACTTTAATATGCTTTTAGAGGACAATAAAAGTGCATTGTAGATGCTATGTATATGCTATACTTTGATCAGAATTTTGAGTTGCTATAGAGAGGATATACTTGGAGTTCTTTTTTCTCATGTGTGACAATTGGTTTACTGAACACAGTTGATATACGTTAACTTTATAAATGATACCAAAACTATGTATCTTACACAACGGTTAGAATATTGCACATTTATCAGGATCTGATATGCATTTAAAGAAAACATTTTAAAAAGCTTCTCTTTATAATATCTAGCATCATAATGTACCAATTTACGTTTCTGGTTAGCGCAACTGCGTTGCGCAACTACTTATTATATAAGTGGTTAATAATATTAGCTAATCTAAATAACAAATATAAAACTATGTTTTACAAATTTGAAATCATTATATAAGATCATTGTATAAAAGTATTAACAAATAAATTATTATTAAATTTTAAAAATTTTTAAAAAACAATTGTCTGCTTACTTTATTTTTACTTTATTTAAGTGATATAAGCTATTAATAAAATAAATGTTTAATTGAATACAATTTAATTATTATTACATATTTCAACAAGTAAATCAAGATACTTCTATTTAAATCATTTTATTAATCTAAAAGTTGTATTATTTAGCAATTAATCTAGAAAAAAAGATAATTTAATAAAAATAAATTTAAAATATTAGCTAATATATTGTTAAAATATTCTTGGCTAATGAAAATAAATAAAAATATAAGACAAAGATGATATAAGGACAATTTTATTTATTTAGCTTGTTTTTTGGATTATTGTTGATTTGTAAATTTAAAATTTTCTTGCCTGTTATAACCAATTTACAAGTTATAAAATTAAAATCTTAAAACCAGAATCAAAAACTCATTAATTTAGTCTTAGGCAATTTTTTTTTACTGTTTAAAGATTTATAAAAATAGCTATAATTTCAATTCTAAGAGCTTTTATATTAGTTTAGTTGTAATATTATTTATCTCACAAATTTTATAATTTATTTACGATCGATTAATAACGAAACCTATAGCGATAATAGATATATGACGAATAATGACGAATAGCGAAGCATAAAAGTTCATGTATTTCTTTAAATTATTTTATTCAATAATTCTTTACAATTTTTGTTTATGAATTCCTTGTACAAATACTAAAAATATATATTATTCAAAGAAAAAATTTGAGAAAATTTGATAAGCTTCTTTCCAAAAGGTAAAAAAATTATCCGAAGAGAAAATGTGTAATCGAAATTCGTGAATTTGTAAATACCGAAACTTAATATTAATAAGGTGTAATGATCAAAATAATTGTCCTATCAAATTATTTGTTTCGTTTAGGCAAAACAACAGTAACTTTTTAGAGTAAGATTTTGATTATTTTTTCGTCTAATAAATGAATTATTAACGATGATCTACTGTTGCCAAAAGAACCTTCATTATTTTCAAGGTGACGTAGATAACCAATGATAATCGTGCAAATATTTAAATCAATATAAAAAATCATTCTCTCTACAACATTATTAATAAACTTTAAGAAAGATTTCTCGACAAAATTAATTTTTTTTAATATGTTTACTTTTATTCTTTTTTTTTTAGCAATTATAATTTTTATTTTTATCGCTAGATAATGCAGCTTTTGCATCAAATATAACATTTGTTCCACAGTGCATTAGAGCATTGACATACTCAGTATTATTAAATTTCGTCTGAATGCTTATCCAATATGTTTGATTAGTTTGTACAAAATTTTCCAGCTATAAAGAATTTTGGAGTTTTCATATATTTCAATAGTTGGGTAGATATATAAAGGGCCGGGTGACCGGCCTTTTTTAGTTTTATTATGATGATAAAAAAAGTATTGAAATATAAATAAAAATTAATGAACCAATGGACTAATGGCCATTGACCCGTCAATGTACATTAATATAATTATGTTTATCATAGTCAACCCTGCTCCAGCCCTAACATAATCTAATCATAAAATTACTATTTCTTATAATATTAAATGACATAAGTTATGCTTTTAATTACATTAGATGCCGAATAAAATTGGATTAGACCCTTAATTCAGATTCGACAAGATTCTCGAATGTTAATACTTATTTTTTCTAAACTTCTTTATCCTCATCATCCCTTTTAATATGCATAAAGTTTTGTAAATATTCTTCAATTAAAGCAACACGAGAATTAATATTATCATCTGTATTTGTATAAAATTTAGGTACACTATCAAATAAACTATGAACATAGCCATATGGTTTTATAGATTTCCCAAACAAAAACGCATAAACACCTAATAGGATGCCTTTAATTGTCAAAAATTGATGAAATAAGTTTAAATTTAAATTAAACGATGCAACCCAAATCATACTGATTATACTAACCAGAAAAGCCACCGACTGCTGCAAGGGCACTGAAAACTGTGTACGAACTATATGTCAAAAACAAAAAAAATAGTCACAATCGCATTCATAATATACATTTAATATAATTTAGTTCATAATAATAATTACCGTTGCTCAATGGTTTGTTCTTGAATAAAACTACCAGCAGCTACAGAAAAGTAGCTAGTTGTACCATTTGGTAATCTCGTTGTGTTACTATTAAAAGGAAAATAATGGGCATCGCTTTCTAAATAATAGGTAACATGATGTTTTGGAGCCAATCCGATGATTGCATTGGCATCATTCGGAAGAATAGACTTATAAGCAATTGTCCTAAATTTAACCTAAAAGCCAGTAGAAAATCATTAAAAAATAAATAAATAAATAAATTACAAACACAAAAAAAAAAATAAAAATAAAATCCCTACCACTGCAGCATAATTAGCCATTCCAGCAATAAAATCCCATAGAAGTACCAGATTTGACAAAACGGCCTTGTCCATATTACTTATAACTTGATCTGGATTCAGCAGTGGGTTGAAATCTATTTATTCATTTATAAATATATAAATATTGAAATCGTAAACAGAAAAACCTAATATTATGATTTATTCACTTACCAGGAGAAGTCAGCTGTATGGAAAGAGAAGCTATGCCAATACTGGTTGCTTCTTCTGCACTTATGTTTGGAATATTAAAGTAAAAACCAATCTCTCTCAAACCATTTAATGACTTATTAGGATCTGTATATTTGATGGTTTTGTTGGCCTTGAATGTCTTGCAAGCATTTCGATGGGCACCAAGACTGACTACTTCATTAATAATATAATCACTACAATTATTTATCCTAGTAACTGTCTGGTCGAGCCATTTGAAGTCACAACGCAAGATCAAACTTCCGGAATTCGAGCATATTTCTATATCTATAATAATGATTTATGAGATTTATTAGGATTTATGTAGTGACGATAGAACTTACCGGGAGCATCCAATTCATCAACTATAGCATATCCGGTTGAATTAGTTGGAATATCTGTTATAACCTTATATATAAGATATGCCAAATATAAAAGGAATACAATAATAAGTACTATAAATATAAAGTATTTTAATCCATAAAATAATCTGTTTTTGCGAGGTGCGGAAAACATTGAACGCATAGTTTCTTTTAACGATCCTAAAACCTTTTGAAAAAAACAAAGAGCATTCAATGCATTAGCGTTTTCATGTATAATTATTGAATGTAAGAAAAAAAAAAAAAACTTGATACGTATTGATTTCATTAAATATTATTAAATTATGTGGTAAAATCTATTCAACTTACAGAGTTTAACAAGATCTTTACAGTTTTTAAGAGATAATGATTCAGACATAATACATTATATGTATGTATGTTGTGAAGGCTCCAGTGCGGCTAGTTTCCTATTTTTCTTGATATCTCATTTTTGTCGTTAGTTTTCATTTCCTTTTTCAGGCGATCTATAGGAAATTAGTTAGTACGTAGTATGTAGATCGATAGACCTCCAAAATTAGCAAGCGAAAGGTAATCATTACCAGTATAGTTGGTATTATATGCCGTAATGCTGTAATACCGTAATATCATAGTGCCATAATACCATAATGCCATAATGCCGTAATGTTGCAATACCAGGCACATAGCAATAATATTTAATGCTTATGTTGTGCATCAAAATACAGTAAAAACTTGCTAAATTTAGAATCTGTTAAATAGAACAGTTATAGAGTTTTGATAACTAATATAAAAAAGAAAAAGTTATTTGAGGTAATGGTAGTATGGCATTTCGATAAATGCATTACGGCATTACAGCACTGCAACTCACCACAATTATAGCAAAAAATACAGCACGTTCTGTAACCGTATTAAATTTACCATCAACAATAGATAAAGTTACCGTGTACGTAATAAACATAATGTACGTAGTGTACATTGTGAACATAGTGTACATAGCGAACATAACGTAGCCATTATAGTTACTATAGCTATAATTTAAAGAAAGCTAACCTTTTCGTTTCAATAAAGAGCTGCTAAGTGTTATGAAGGTTGGCAGAATTCAGTTAGAGTTCAACACTTGAAAGACATAAAAGTGTCTTGCAATAATTCCCGATAATAAAATTCGTGACCACATGATATCGTGAACCGAAGTTCACGATCGAAGCTTCGTGACGTAATCCAGAGCTCTAATCGAGCCACCCTAATAACTCTGACAAAGTCTCGCCACGTCTCTCTTGTAGCCTCTCACCAATATTAGGTAGTTGTGTCAATGAATGAATTGTATGAGCAACCCAGAACCCGACTTTATCGTATCCGGTACTAGTTCCACCCTTTACAGCATACTTACCCACTACGTACAGTACCTACTGGACAAAAATGCTCAATTCACAACATATTAATTTGATTTTTAAACGTTTTTTATCTAAGCATAACGAATTTAAAGTTTATTTATGCATACATATGCACCAGGAATGCTGTATAGTAATCAACACTTATCTAAAAATATTTATTGCTTTATATACTTATGAAAAAAACACGTAAGGCTAATTTTCATATGTTGATACATCTTAATATGTGCATAAGGTACTATGTTTTAAGGTACGCATATTGAAATTTTTGATATGCAGTGTATTTTATCAGATTAGTTAGTATGTATGTACGTATAGTGCAAGAAATCTAAAAACCACAATTATACCCTATAGGAACAAATATAATCATTCCTAAAGTACTAACATCAATAAAGTGTGCATGTAAATACTTTATTGTAGTAGATAATTTAAGAAATATTCAACTTGATTGCATTAAGCTTTAGAAATTGTGATTTCCTGTTTTACGTAATAATTTGTATTGGTAATGTAATGTACTCCACATGGTGCCACACTAGTGAGAGTTCAAAAAAAAACATCAATCAAGTTGGTGATTATTTAATTTCATTATATTTTTGCGTAATTGTAGTTTATCGTTATAGATTTCTTCATCGTACGTACGTACCAGAAACGGAATTATATAGCTATGTGGCATTTTATTGGATGTTATGTGTGGCAGAACAGAATGTGAATGCATGAGGACCTTCACATATTGCATTATCGCATGTTTGAATTACTTGCCCTGGGCAAGTACACCGGTATACTTGTCAGAAGTGTAGTAGAAAGAAGCGTATGGTCACGAGATCCACAAAATCTTCATTCTGATTGGATGTAGTAATCCATGACATAATATCTGCATGATTGAAAATCGTATCTAAATCGGCCATATTTTTCAAGTTTGGATCTTGGTATGGCGTCAATTCAGCATTTTACACTTATAGTTTGTTAGGCGAAACCTTTTCCGCATAATGACGAAAGACGAACTCTAAACCCGGAAAGAAGTCAAAATGACGACACCCAAATCCTAAATTAGAAATGATGATATCTAACATCAAATTAACGAAAACTAATTTCAAATTGATGAAACCCTAGCACTCTCGTTAAAAAAAAAAACAACCCAAAAAAAAACCACGAATACTGATAACTTGCACCAAATGTCTAAATATATATATATATATATAGTAAATATAGATGTATTATTCTTCCTCGTTTATCAGATTCAAAAGGGGTTTCACTGTAAAAATTTTAGGACATGGAATTAAAGTTTAAAAATTAATACTCTAACTGCTAAGGTTTGTTGAGTAATTTTTCGGCAAGCTATACTGTATTAGTATGTAAGTTATAAAACGAAAGCTTGTAAGAATTTACGATATTATCATAGCGAGTTTAGCTCTCAGAAAATTTACATTAGATATTAATTATCAGCATTATTGTAGTAACCTCAATATTAAGTTTACGTAATAAGTAGCTGCGCAACTACGTCGATCAGGAACGGATGAACCAGTAAATTATATTATCGGAATTTTTCTGTAATTCGAGAAAAACTAACAGCTAAATTGTTTTGGGTCTAAACGAATGCTACAAATTCATTGCATAGATCTGAGACATTAGCAGCTATTCATTTCCGATTTCACAATGAATGCGTTATAAAATATGTGAAATCTCGAGAATAGATGCACATTTTTGGTTTAATAAATACTTCGAATCTTAGCATTCATTTAAGCAAATTATCGAAAATAGTATAGCCACCCTTGAAATTACTTTGCATGATGGTGGTGCCCATCTACTATTGTATAGTTATAAAAATCGCTGACTATGTTCTTGGTTTTGGTGTGACGGTGTCGCACAGCTACTTACTTGCCTATATATCTGAAATTTTTAATGTGTAAACAAAATTTTACATGGAAATGTTATGCTTACAGCTGTTATCATAAAATCTAACCGATAATCATTCAGCAGAATTCGTTAAGTTTTGATTTCGACATGTTTAACGTAAAAGTATAATAGAGTAATTGGGGTCTTTGCCTTGAAAATGACCTTACGGTATCATGTACCGTAGGGTCATTTTCAAAGCAAAGACCCCAATTTTTACATATGATATTATTGTACGTTGTGAGACCGTAAACGTGACCTAACGGCAGGCACGTGCCCTCGGGTACTTCCTAATTTGGGCTTACCGGTCGATCGGATCTGCCAGATATATAGTTTATTGGTGATTTTAGTGATATAGATGATTCCTGCGAATGTAAATACCGAGTTAGCAACTATAAATAAAGGCCCTATTGGCCCTTCGGGAAATAAAGCACCCGATTTACCTACTAATAAAATACCTAAGTTACATATTTTAGCTGCCCGATACGATAGTATCGGAGCAGCTTTTTGTCTCGAATCGGTCACGGGACATGCTAGTCGTATGATCATTGATGTATTGGTTGATCTATTGGGCATTGTTTCTTTGTGATTTTTTGATTTATTGGTGATTGACTTTCGTATGATTTTTTTTTTTCCCATGAGTTTTTAGTGACGTAGTGACGTGGTAATTCGATTAGTAATCGTTTAGTAGTATTTATGAAGAACGGGTTTTGTACCAGGAAAAGTCGTTTTCTGTTTTTTCTGCTAACCCGACTTTGTCTGGTTTTTTCGTGCATATTTACCCATAAAATATTTACCTGTTTTCTGATTAATAAACGAGACACAAACGTTTTGCAACTTTGATCTGTGGTACTATACTGTTTCTAGTCTGAGTAACGAACGATAAACATATTTTCCGGCTTCAGTTTTTCCATACTGCTGCGTGCTCTAGTAGTTAACTAAATTTTTGACCTTGAGAGTTTTTCTGGTCGTCTGATTGTTCAAAAAAAAAAAAGAAAAAAAGAAAAAGGAAAAAGAAGAGAAAATATCATTATATATTTAAGTAAATAAAGATAAATGGTGTAGGATGTTGACTGTAAATAAGGAGTCGGAACAGGTCCTTGTGTCGAGTGACACTGATTTAGCTCAAATAAGTTTGGAAGCCAGTCTTCAACGGTTATCAGTGGAGACATTGAGGTTTATTTGTCAAGGTATGGGGCTATCGGAATTGGGCCAGAAACAAGAAATTGCCTCTAGGTTGGTGAAGAAATGTAAGACTCATGTGGGTTCGGAAGATCCCATAAATGAGCCTGGTATGGCCGAAAAAGGAAAGGAAGTGCGACCCCAGTGAATGGAGAGTGATATATCGATAGATGAGTTTGAGGCTCTACGTTGGGTGGGGGACAAGGTTCAGCAGCCAGCTGCAGGGAATAATGCAGCAGGAGCTTTTAGTAAACCAGCGGTTTCGGAGCAAAATTTTATACCTAGCTATGCATGGGAGAAAAACTATGAGGCTGAGCTAGGGTTACTATCTGTGAATGATGTTGAGCTTGGGGGTTTGTGGATGAAGCGTGAGTTGTCTAAGCCACGTAACCAATGGGAGTACAACGAGTGGTGTAGAGCAGGAGCTTTGGTGGATAAGGCTTTAATATCGGGAAATATTGAATATGTATGTTTGGCAAGGCAGGTGATTTTGGAAAGGGCCTATGTTGTTAGGGTAGCCGACAAGGATGGCTGGGATGTGGCGTTGAAAATGACGGTTGGAGAAATCTTGGATCCGATGTCGGAGCTCTTAGGAAATAAGCAGTAAAGTGTCAGGTTGGCTGTGCAGCATTTTACAAGGCCTAAAAAAGCTAAAATGATATTCTATCCATGGTACAATTAGCCCCAGGTCCAGGTTCTGTATTTCCAAGGAAATAGCATGCAAGTTCCGCATTTTCAGCCTTATGTGCATCAGGCAGGATTTCAATAGCAGTTCCTGGGACCTCAATTGGAACCACAAGGTCAGTTTGGAGCTTTTCTAGCTCAAACTTTCTAATCATCTGCTCAGTTTGGACAACCTGTGTTGCAGCATTCACAATAGCTTGGGCCTGGAATGGGTGTGTCATCTCCTGTGCAGTATCAGGTATATAAGCCAGTGATGCAGTGGCCAAAGAGGTTTGATAAAGGTAAAGATTTTAAAGGAAAGAATGTAGTTTGTTATATCTGTGAGAGTAAGGGCTATTTTGCAAATGAATGTAGCTCTAGAAAAATTTTTGGTTCGCCCTTTTGTAAAGGAGCCCATTTTGGAGGAAGTTGACTACACTCAGGGGCATTTGGAGAAAAGATTAATGGGTATGGAGACTCAGGTGGTGGGGAAAATTCATGGTCAAGTAGCAATAAGGTATCGGAAGGAAGTTATAGAGCTGTCACAGCTAGTTCTGAAGTGGCTAAAGGAAGAAATTCCTTTGTTCCCAAGGGGCTTGGTATGTTTAGCAAAGGAGCTAGATCCGAGGAAATATCAGTTTACGCAGGAAGAGGAGCTTTAGTTAGAGAAGGAATTGAAATGTTTGAAACTTTTATGGGTGATAGTAAAAGTTTCAGAGGGTTGTTCTCGCCCAGAAAATCTTTTATAAGTAAGCCCAGTGTTACTGTTCCCAAAACAAGGGCCCAAGAAGTTTCATCTAGTAATCGACTTGAGAAGGCTGAATCAAACTTTACTACAGTAAACCTTTTGTTTCGAAGGTTTAGGAGGGTTACTAAGAACAATTGGTTGGGAATAGTAGTTGATATTGTTCAATCTAAAGAAGGGTTACCATCATGTACTGATGGATGCCAAAGCCCAAAGGCTATTAGGTTTTGTGGTGAAATGGAACTGGTACTAGTACAGAGCAGTGTTAGAGATCTGAAACTTTTTTTTTGTTCTCTGAGAACATAAATTTTAAATTTTAGGTTCTTAGAAAGATTTTTAATGTTCTCAAAAGTTTTTAAATATAATACAATTTACAAATTTTATGTTCTCAAATAAGAATATAAATTTTAAAAATTGTGTTCTCAAAAATATTTTAATGTTCTTGAGAACACTGAGAACATTAGATATCTAACACTGGTATAGAGTCCTTCCCTTGGAACTAAGTCAAGCCTCATGGGTCTTTTCGAAGATAATAAGAGCTATAATTGGCAAGTGGCTAGCTCAAGGAATTTTTTGTAGATGTCATCTAGACAATGTATAGGTGGCCCATCCATTGAAGAAGAAACTGTTGAGTATAAGGGAAAGGGTTGTAAAGGTCGATTTGGAGGGTTGTGGTTGGACCAGAGCTGAGAAAAAAGAAAGCTGAGACCTGATATGAACATTAAAGTTCTGTGGGATGATCATAAATACAGTAAATATTGCATAGTAGCACCAGAAGAGAAAATAATATCAACAATAGCGAAGTTAGAGGCCTTATTGAAGGAACTAACAATTATGGCAAGGGACTTGGCTTTGGTGGCGGGCAAAGTAATAAGTTTGTCCAGGATGTTCTTTCTGAGCCAGGTAAAGTGTATGGAGTTTTACAAACTCATAGATACGCAGAACCGCTACACCTTGCAATAGGACAGCTAGGTTCTTTTGTCGGCCTAGGTGATTGAGGACGTCAAGTGGCTAGTGAAAAACTTGAGAAAGTAAAACGGCTGGCCAGCCTGGAAGCCCTCACAGATAAATTCGGTTTATGTAAATGCTTTGGTAACTGGTTGGTGTAAGATTTTTAGTGATCACAAGGCTTCAGGAAGTTGGGTGTACCCTATACTTCAAGGGTTATCGCACAGTTGGAAGCATTGGTGGTACTAAAGACACTACAATCGTTTAAGAACCTGTTGGAAGGAACTTGGATAATCTTGTTCATCAACAACAGGGTGGCTCTAAAAACAGTGATAAGAGGAGGCTCGTAGATGTGGCAGAAGGACATAATGAGGCAAATTTGGGAGGTGTATGCAAAAAGCGACTTGGCAATTTTTGATACACAGTGGGTGCCTTCCGAGCTGAACCCAGCAAACTTCCTAACAAGGGTGCCCAATATAGAAAATTGGGTTTTAAGTTCAGCAGTTGTAGACCAGTTAGAGTTAGCTTGGGGAAAATTTGATGTGAACAGGTTTGCAAACCACCTGAATTCGAAAACTTGAAGATTCAATAGCCGATATTTTTGCCTGGGGTCAGAAGCTGTGGGTTGCTTTATCCAAAATTGGGCTGGAGTAAAAAATTATATCTGCCTCCCATTTGGACAAATCTACAGAGCACTTTGCCTCAAAATGGAATATGGAGCATGGATAGTTGTTATAGTTCTGATTTGGGTCTCGGCCCCATGGTGGCTCTTAATATTGAATTTGTCCAGAAGTGAAATCGATCTCCCTCCAACAAAGCATATTGTGGCACCAGGACCCTCAAGAAACTCGGAGTCTTGCAAAATAACCAATAGCGTCTGAGAGCTATGTTGCTAGATTGGTCTGGGGTTTGCTTAAAAGAGTCGAACGCTTGATAGACAGTTTGATTAATGAGGTATATAAAAAGCGTTTAGAAAAGGCTCATGGTGTTTTTGAGAAATTTGCGCTCTGGGTAGGTTTTTCACTATATCCTACATTTAGGGAGCTTTTGGCAGCTTTTCTTACATAGCATGAAGCCTCAGAAAGAGTGTTGGAAATGTCAATATGCTTAGCAGCAATAGCAAGGGAGCATAAAATAAGGAATCTTGAGGACTCAATGAAAGGTGGCTCAGTTCATTTAATAGTAGAAAGAAGCAAAAGAGTTGCGACGACAGTAGGAAACAGAGCTAGTTGGCCAAAGGACCTGTTGCCAGTTGCAGTAATTTGGTGTTATATTGAGTGTCCACCACCAGTAATATGTGTAAAATTTTGGGCACAGGATTTAGCTTTAATAGTTTTGGGATTGAGGTTGATGCGAAGACCAGCAGAGTTATGTAATTTGAGAAGGGCTAACGTATTAGAAAGAGATGAGAAGTTATAGTTTAAAATTGCAAGGTCCAAAACGGACCAGTTGGGGAAGGGAAGTTTATTCTGTTAGAAAAAATGCAGAGTGAGCTTTGTCCGATAAAGTTATTAAACTTGTATTTGAGGATAAGGCCTAGGACTCCTGCAGAGGAGCCGTTGTTTTTGTCAAAAACAAAAGGAAAGTTATCTATAGTGACCATTTCAGTGATAGTTAAATGATTTGCTGAAAATGTGGAGTTGTATAGAAGATATACTGCTTATAGTTTAAGAATTGGGGACACAATAGCAGCCATGCAAGGAGGCATGACAATGGAGCAAATTCAATCAATCGGCAGTTGGTCATTAGGGGCAGTGCAATTGTATATGATGGCAATTAGTACAGCCAAGATAGGAGCATTGAGTCTAATGGGTTTTGACCAGTAGGTAAAGTAACTTACATAAGTAGTGATTTTCAACAAAACCCATAACTGTATTTTATAGTCTCCTTGTTTTTTCACCCCTTGATGAGAGACAAATTTAGCTGCCCGATACGATACGATAGTATTAAAGCAGCTTTTTGGCTTAAATCAGTTACAGAACATGCTAGTCATATGATGTATTATTTTAATAATTGATGTATTGGTTAATTTATTGAGCATTGTTTCTTTGTGATTTTTTGATTTATTGGTGATTGACTTTTGTATGATTTTTTTCCCATGAGTTTTTAATGACGTAGTGACATAGTAATTTGATTAGTAATCATTTAGTAGTATTTATGAAGAACGGGTTTTGTACCAGGAAAAGTCATTTTCTGTTTTTTCTGCTAACCCGACTTTGTCTGGTTTTTTCACCCCACTCTACCCAGCCTTCATACATGATCTCCAAGTTTACTGTTTTTAGTTGTTGTTATTTATGGCCTGTTGGACGACAGTCATAAAAGTATTTTTGGGTTTTTAAAGGTAACCCATCGAGATGACAGTCACTAGAGAGTTTTTCTTATGTATGTTGTGTATATTAAAGCGCCCTGCCAGGACGACAGGTGTGAAGAAATTTTCTTATGTTTTTTACATAAGGGTGGCCTGTTGGATGACAGTCACTTTTTTGGTTTAGAGTAGTCATAGGGGAACTCGGGTTTTTTCCAGAAAAAATTATCTGGTTTTTTTCACCCCGCCCCCTGTGATGAGCTTTTAGTATTTAGTTTTTTAGTTTTTAGTTTAGCAAGCCGAACAGTTTTTGTACTTTCTTTTTTTGGCTCGATACTTTCGATTTCTGCACTATTGTACATATGCACATGAGCAGATGGGACAAAATACCCATAACTGTATTTCATAGTTTCCTTGTTTTTTCACCCCTCGATGAGAGACAAAAATAAGCTACACACATTCATTCATTTACTACTCGTCAAATCTAACTCACCTTTTTCGAGCCATCATTACCTAGATTTTTCGTTACACAAAGCAACTTTCGTCCAAGCGACAGACTCGCCGATTTAGGTCTGTCAACGTTATAGGTCCTCTAGAGCAATCACACAAGCTTAACAAGTACGTATGTATTTTGTAATAAATAGCTCTTTAGAAATTGAGTAATGGTGACAAAGTTTTTTTATTTTATAATTAAACTAATCTCCTGTTTTAAATTGGTGCTTAAAAATGAGATACATACATATTATGCAATAATTTTCTTTTAACGTTATGTAAGCAAATGAACTTACTGTAATGCTTATAAATCCATTTAACATTTGAACTAAACTTATACACTGAAAACATATAGTCTATTTATTTAGTTTATGTAAAAATTTTAGCAAAAACTGCTCTTGCCAGCCAGCAAATTTTAGATTTGTCTTTCTAAAATAATAAAGTACACAAAATTGCTCGAGAGTTTGATCTACAGAAAATTTAATGAAGCCTTAGTTAATACTCGAGCTGGAAAATTTTCCAAATTATTTCAATTATATTGTAATGAATATGCTTTGAAACATCTTATTTGGCCAATGACCGATAACACCAAATTCAAAATCTTACTGAATATGGTTGAATAATTATCGATCAGTTGTCCCAGAATTATGAGAATATCTGTAATTGATATGAAAACAGCTGCAATAGGATGTTCAAAACAAGACTATCATTTTATTTTCATTAATATTATTTCAACTTGGTGCTGTTCTTTGATCGTGATTTCAATAGCTTTTCTTTGAACGTTATTGAAACAGCTTTCTTTATGTAGCCTTAGTAATTTTTTTCAATCATATAGATTAAATGTTATTAACATTTTAGAGAAATAGACTTTTATTTATTCACGTATTAATTTCTAATAACAAATTGCTAATTAACTTTCTATACAACTCAAATTTAACATAATTTGTGTTGTGAACCAGACATAAACCGAGTAAGGGCATTTCATCCTAATTTCATGCTTTAATTATCAGATCCATTTTCACTTCATTGAAAATCCTTATTATACTGTATAATGCATTTTTATATATTGTTCCTGGTGTTACGTATCACATACCTGGAATTGCTACTTCAGACACCAGAAGTCGAACCTAAATGGAATTACAGTATTAATTGTCGCAGCTGATGCTGAAATTAAGTCCTATTTTTTATATGAAATTTTAAAAATTTTTAAGTTTATTTTTCTCGTTTTTTTTTTTTTTGGGTTGGGTAAGGTTAGAATTGATAATTAAAGAGTATAGTAAGGCTTATATTTTTAAATTGCGACTCCAACCTTCAGCATTGGCCGCGACATTAATTTAATATGCAATCTAATTTCAAAGGCTAATGCTAGTTTTAACACCAAATACACGACATATGTACTAATATAACACGCGTAACCCTAATATAATACGCGTAACTCTGATTATATTGATACCTTTATCAAAAATAAAGATATTGCTAGATAATCACTTCCTGATGTTAGTTTAACCCAGGCCTACCGAATAATTGATTGTAAGGGCAATTAATTGCAATTTTTCAAGCTCAATTAATTAATTGGTGGCGCAGTCACAATTAGTCAATTAATTGCAATTTTACGCTTAGATAATATCGTATATTCTCACTACGATTTTTTCATATTAAGTATATATAGGTTTAAAATATGAAAAAAATATTGCTATAGCCAGCTATTGGTTTACAAATATATATAGTAAAAACTCTTTATTAATGGGACTAAAAAATTGAAGTCTTACAACTGTTTCATAATCTTTCCTAAAAAATAATTAATAAAAAATTCCGGCTAATAAAAATCACATGTTTATAATTGGAGAAAGCAGATTACTATTACTTTTTTACCAATAATACTCTACCGTCTGTGCTGATCTTGCCATTCTGTCATTAAAGCTAACCATTTTCATTTCTTGCGCCCTATTTGTTCGTGGGCAAAGTTTTACTTTCCACTCATCTTCGATAAAAAAGTCATACGTTGCCAATCACTAATTAAATTTGTTCATTCCTATTACAACAGACAATGTCATTCATCCATTTCGGCTTATTAGTGTTTGCGAGTTTACCTAATTTTAATTTAAGGGTATTTAAAGCCCCATATCGATTTTTAAAATAATTTGTAAATAGTAAGGCGATATCATTTTAAGCAATCTTGCCTTTCTTTATCTTTTTTTTTGTGATTATTGATATAGTCGCTTATAAATTAAATGAAAAACTAATACGTAAAGCATTTGAAAGAAAGGATAAATAAAATCCATCGAGTTTTATTTTATTTTATTATTTTCAATTAATTGAAATACGTTACATTTTAATTATATAACATACTGTAAATTTTAAAAATATGTTAATCCCGTCAAACAAGTCTACTTTACTGTATTATAATAGATCCAATTGAATTTACCAGGGATCGTTTAAAAATTACTGCCAATCTCATTGCAGTTCTGTAGATAAAGACGCATTTTAGACGCATGGTGCACGTGATTTTCATGGTTACGTGGTGTGCATAATTGGATCACGCATATTGTGTGAAGCAACAATTCTAAAAAATTAATATCTAATTGGTTTTACTGTCTTTAAAAACTCCGAAATTAACACACTTGCGTGTACCATGCGCACATCATGCATGAGCATAATGCACATTGTGTCCATCTCTACTGTAAGATATACATACTACCAAATAGGCTTAATATTAATAATGGCAAATTATTGGATCTACAGGGACCGATTAAAATTCATAACCAATCTCATTACTGTTAATTTGGTTCTGTAAAGTGATTACTAATTATTGTCCATTAACAGTAAATAACGTCCATTAATTAACTTAATGGAAAATGAACTTAGATTATTGATTTTCGACAGCTGAAACATTAACTGCAAATGATTTTCAAATGAGTTAACATTTCCTCTTACGTCATTTTACATATAGCAATTTTATAGTAACTTTACGAAAATAATGTTTTCGACAATCTCAACAAAAAAAAAAAGTATATATACATGTGTATTTCGCGTCAGATTAGTTCTACATCAAATTACAATTACACTCGTACTTACACTTAAACTTTTAACACTAACTTTAATCCTAATCCTAACAAAACGCTAAATTAAACTCAAAATATATTTTGTGCTGAGAAGCAATATTTTCTTCTTCATCATGAAATTCCATATTCTCGTTTTTACTGTCTTAATCGCATGTTGCCTGGTAGCTAACATAGTTGATGGTCAAGGTAATACTTTGATACTGCTGTACTGATAAAAATGGTCGATAATAATCTATTTTAATACTTTGTTTTAAATATTTTATTAAATAATGTATAGGAAATTTCTTTACTTCGACTGTCATTTCCACTCTGGAAAAGGGAACGATATGTCATGGTTATGTAACGAATTGTAAAGGTAAAGTAATATTTGACAAAGGCACGCAAGATTGTTCTGGCAATTGTACGGTATCACAACGCAATAATATACCAGGCAATCAGCCGTATTGTCCTCATATGGTAGTTCATTCCGTGAAGGGTACAAAAGCCAATTTATCCATCAACAGAGTCAATCAAAGTGCCTGTTTCGAAGTTAAAGAGACATCACCCGAAAAATTTGATTTCGCACAGACAAAAGATTGCCCTAACCCTGTTCCAGATTCTTGTACTCCTATGAAATAGAATTAGATTAAATAAATTATATATATTTTTCTTTTGCTTTTTCTTTTATTCTATTTTTCTTTTACTTTGTCTTTTATTCTATTTTACTTTTAATTTCTTGTATATGGTTGTCGTCACGCGCCAATTCCATTTTGATAACAATACCCAATATGGTATATCTATTATATCTTAGTATAAAATGAATTAGTTATACGAATCAGGCAATCACATGTGGCTTAAGAGGCGTAGTAGATTTAGTTTTCGTGTTGACGCCAAATTATTAGCGTTGATGCAAATTTTTAGCGTTGACGTTAAAATATTTGTATAAACGCCAAATTATTAGCACTAACGCTACGAAAAACTAAAAAGTATAAAAGCTCTAAGAATATTAATAAAGAAGGACAAGTTTCACGTCCATTTTAAAATAAATAAATATAAAAATAATATACCATCTTTGAATTCGACTGTAACTTTAATAAACCTTTCGTAACTCAATTAGATGACTTGTAACTTTGAATAGGTTTATTTAAACTCGAATTTTTTGTTAACTGGTATTTATATGAGTGCTGCCAAGGGAAAAGGGCTACTTTAGATTTTTAAAATTTTTTTTTTGATCAAAAATATCTTTACAACTACTTGATCAAAATTGAAAATAGTTTTTTTTTATTTAAAATTTACAGATATGTAGAATTCAAATAAAAAAATAATTATCAATTTTAATCAGGTAGTTGTTGAGATATTTTTGATAAAAAATTTTTAGCTAAGCCCTTTTCCCTTGGCAGCACTCATATATCATCAGAACTTGGTCACCTGATTTTGTTTAGAAGTTCTCTCATTTAAGAAAAGTTTTAATTCGCACCTCCTTTGGTGTCACTAGTGTCGCAGTGCTACGTGTACACATGTCGGGTACATGTTGTTCGAATATCGTGATCAGTGTTTACATGAATGGCGTGATCACGATTTAATTAAAAGTCTAAAATAGTGATTGCATGAACAATGTAGTAATCAGAAGCGATTAGTAAGCATCGATCCAAATAGGGGAAATTCCTAACTTTTGTTCTTAGTGAATAATATCTAAGCGATCATATTGCATTGATGGTAGTATCTGGTACGATACTCCAGTCATCGTATATTAGCCAAGCGAGTGAAGATTGATAGTAAAGACCCACGAATACATGGTAGTTTAGATAACTCTGTGACACTAGCATTAGCTATTTAAGATATATCAGATATTTGGCCCATTCATCTATCATCTTTAATCGTCAACTTCCTGGATACTATTTCCAAATTATTCTAATTTATTACCAATATTAATACTCATGCATTATCTGCCTTTGATTTCAAATATTTATATCACCTCTTTATACATGGCTGGAGCTTCAAATTGGCACTATTATCTATAATTGTTTTATTACTCTCCCAATCAACCATTGCGATAGTGATCTTTAGAAGAATTTTAAATTTTTATACTAATTAAATATTTTAAATAAAATAGTTAAATAGGTAATGAGATAATTGTATAAACATGTTGCTTTTTGCATATAAAAAAAAATTAACTTGTTAATAATAAGTAACTGTGAAAATTTTGAATATTTTTAAATCTTGATATTGCTTTAATAAAGATTCTATTTTATCAACAAACTAAATAAATTGATGATTTATAACTGAAAGAAACTTTTATACAAATTACTGTGCTTTTCAAATTACTGTGATCAGTGATTTTCATTTATCACACACCATACAGAAATCTGAAAATCAGAAATCTAAATATCAGGAGTTTAAAATTGAATATAAAAACTAAAATAATTATAAATACGAAACTAATTAAACCTTTGTCATTCTTTTCTAAATTAGTACACTTATGTCAAATAAAAAAATACAACCCTTCAATATTACCATAGCACCTGCTTTGGGGTGTCAAAAATGTTTGTACTGTGTAGTTGATTTGCACGATGATTCTTGCAGTTGTAAGCTTTCTCAAGTGCCTACAAGAAAAAATAGAACAGATTTAGTTAAACAAGCATACACATGCTGTTTTGAACCTACCTGGGAAATACCCAAATTTGATTATATTTATAGATGTATTATGAAATTTAATTACAGAATAAATTTGAAAAAACCTTTTCAGCTTTCTCTTTGTGGATATTGCAATAATGTTTTAAATCAATTGAAATCTAAAAATAAAAAATTGCAATAAAAACAACAACTAAACCAGATGAACTGGACAATGTAACTTTATTTTTTTTTATATTACATATTCTTTATTAAGTATTGCATTTACCTATTATTTACTTACAGTTTTATTTTAAAGAAGGTAAATCGCCTTCCTTATCAATGTCTATTGCAGTAAGTGAAGACATAACAAATGAAGATGAATTGAGTAGTGATAATGAACCTAAAGTTATAGTGGATTATAAGTTGTTTATAAAAATAGCAAATGGTGTTTCATTACCTGCCAAGTGGTTTAAAGAATAAAAAAAATTAGTATACTAATGGATGATTAGTTATAAAATTAAAATTCAACAAAAAATCATTGAAATTCTTAATTATTAAGTAGTATTTTTTAAGAAAAATAAGAATTTAATAAAATCTGATAATTTCAGTGTAATGTATGATCATCAGGTGATTACACTAATTTGAAAAATGCAGTAATTTACAAACTTAAATTATGCACATTTAATTATTTTTGTGATTTTATTTAAAAAGTATACAATTTGTTTTTATTTTACTTTTATAATATAAAAATTAGAGAAATTTACATATAAGGGCCTAAAAAAACATAAATGCCTAAAAAATAAAAATAATTACAAATAAAAGTTTAAAGTAAAAATAATTATATATAAGAGTTTAAATTTTACAATTAAAATCCAAAATAACTTTGCATTATAATAATAGTAGTTCTTAAAACACTATAACTATATATATATATTGATTAATATATTTTGTACTTTGACCTTCACTTAATAAACTTCTTTTAATCAAAAAATAATTCAACTAGATTAATTATAATATATTGCTATTGTAATATTTATTCAGTTTTAAACTAATATAGTATGGTTTTAAATTTAATTATGCAAATTATGCTCTTTTTGTATAATTAAAAAATTCTTGATATTTTTATTTAAATTTATAATCTATAGAGTTAAATTTATACCTAATTATCTTTTATCTTTGTATTTGGTAAACAACTACCTTTTAAAGCTTCTATATTATATAAGATCTCTAAACTACATAGTTACAGAACAATTCATATTAAAATTAATTAAAAGATTTATTATTAAATATATTTTTTACTTAGTGTAGTATTCTAGTTATTACTCTCACCAAGTGGAGATCTAGAGTTCAAATTTTATATATAACAATTTTTAAAAAATAAATCTGTGATACAGTAATAGTAATTTGATAATCAGTTAGATTTATAATCTATAATTTTGATAATATCATCTAGAATAGAAGCTTTAGTACAAAAATCCAGAAAACTAGAATAACTAAAACTTATTTGAAAAGTTCTTAATAGAAAAGTAATAGTAATCTTTGACAGTATTACATGAAGGCTAAATTTGGAACCAGAAGCAGAGATTAGAGAACTAAATATCTAGATCTCTAAGTGAAGAATATACTAGCTTAACTATTAGGCCTATTACACTAAAGAAAAAGAATATATACTCTGGAAGTATACATTATGGTAAGATGGGCTAGATATGTTTAAAGCTGAGCCAAGATTAATTCTTTTAAACTACTAGCTAGAAGTAAGATAGTGCTAATAAAAAATCTAGAAAGAAAAAAAATCTAAAAGCAGACACCAAGTTATTTTATTTTTTTTCGGTATTAAGATAACCTCTCTGACTAGGAACTTTTTATTAAGTAGAGATAATATTATACAATTACAACAAGTTATATCAAGCCATACTTGCATATTTGGTACCTAATTTAAGTAGTTCGCCTAAAAGTTCTACACTATTTACTGTACCTGCACTCCAACTACAGAGGTACTCATTTAAACCCTCTGGTTACAACTATTGGTTACCTTCTATCTAACCAAGATATAACTCACTATTCGGTAGTAGCTTTTGCAACATCTGTAGATTTTGCACTCACCTTAGGACTTACTAACTATCTAAAGCTTATCTATCTACAAGGTAAACCTAACAGAGTGGTCCATGTTTCATACATATATTCACTTACATGTTCAGTAACTTCTTATCTAACTAGTACCTGTTGTACTGCTGCTACTGAGTTTATATTTCAAGCCAACTTTTGGAGTACTGCCATAAGGGGCATGCTATTTATCACATGATTTTTACTATGAATACATGATCAGAGATGCAAAACATTCATTTTTGATACACCTGCACCTACTTTTTTGATACTGATCGACATGCAGATTCCAGTAAAAAATAAAAATTTTAAAAACTTTGAGCGAAAATATAACGCTAATTACCTGCTTGAATCTGATAAAACTTTTTAGATTTGAATTCTATGAATTCATAAAATTCAAATGAAAAAAAATTTCATTGAATTTAGTCATGTGGTTGTCGAGATATTTTCACTCAAAATTAGAGACAAATCAAAACACTTATTAAAATAGAAGCTATGCCAAATTACTCTCTAACTTTGAGCGAAGATATCTTGATAACTATCTGACCAAATTCGATAAATCTTTTTTTATCTGAATCCTATGGATTCATAGAATTCAAATAAAAAAATTTTGATCGAATTTAGTCAAGTGGCTATCGAGGTAGCTTCGTTCAAAATTAGAGAAAAATAAAACGGCTATCAAAATGAAAACTTTCTCTCAGACTTTGAGCGAAGATATCTCGATAACGGTCTGTCCAAATTCGATAAAACTTTTTTCTTTCAATTCTATGCATTCATAAAATTTAAATAAAAAAGATTTCATTGCATTTAGTCAAGTGGGTGTCGAGATATCTTCGTTCAAAGTTGGTAAGAAAATTTGGCGTAGATTCTATTTTGATACGCATTTTAATTTTTTCTTTAAGCGAGGATATCTCGATAAACATTTGATTAAATGCGATGAATTTTTTTTATTTAAATTCTATGAATCCATAGAATTCAAATAAGAAAAGTTTTATCGAATTTGGTCAGATAGTTATCGAGATGTCTTTGCTCAAAGTTAAAAAGAAAATTTGGCATAGCTTCTATTTTGATAAACAGTTTGATTTTTCTTTAATTTTGAGCGAAGATATCTTGGTAGCCACTTGACTAAATTTGATCAAAATTTTTTATTTGAATTCTATGAATCCATAGGATTTAAATAAAAAAAGATTTATCGAATTTAGTCAAATAATTATCGAGATATCTTCTCTCAAAGTTAGAGAGTAATTTGGCACAGTTTCTATTTTGATAGGCATTTTGATTTGTCTCTAATTTTGAGTGAATATATTTTGACAACCACATGTCTAAATTCGATGAACTTTTTTTTATTTGAATTCTATGAATCTATAGAATTCAAATCTAAAGTTTTATCAGATTCAAGCAGGTAGTTGTCATTGTATCTTCGCTCAAAGTTTTTAAAATTTTTATTTTTTACCAGAATCTGCATGTTGATCAGTATCAAAAAAGTAGGTGCAGATGTATCAAAAATGAATGTTTTGCATCAGAGATAGTGATCATGTCTATATATAATATTAACTAATCAAAATTAGATAAAGTGATCATACTATACATGGATAGGAGTGGCTACTAAGTAAAAAATATTATATGATAAATGGCACACCCCTAACCTGATTCATATCTCAAGCACAACCTTCCTAATTAGTTACCTATTATATACACCTGCTCTTGTAAAGTTCCCAACAATCCCAGTATCTGTATTTGGAATTGTCTTTTTACTCAGATTCTTTATTGGTCCCTCTATAACTTCCAGCTAGCAACCTAGATGAGTCAGTCTGTTTAGGCTTTAGATACCTGAAGGATGCTCTCTTCTTGGTTTATAATTTTGAAGCATATGTTCTTTTTCTCCAATGCAACAACCCAGCAGTTTAGCTAGTGTGTTCTTCACTATTTTAGAACCTGGTCACTTGGTTCTCTGATCTCAGGCCCCAGTTTGAATTCAGCCCTTTTGTAGTACTGTCAAAGATCATTGCCAAACAGGTTTTTAGTTATTCCAGTTCCTCAAATTTATTACACCAAAGCTTCCATTACTAGATAGTATAACTGAGATTGCAGATTTGATTCTAGATCCAATCAACAACCGTTAACCATAACACAGATCTATTTTCAAAATCATTGTTCGTGGGATTCGAACTCTAGACCTGCTGCTTGGAGAGGGTGATA